CCGAATCAGAGTCTAATGACGAATTTCTCTCTCTCTCTCTCTCTCTCTCTCTCTCTCTCTCTCTCTCTCTCTCTCTCTCCACCCTTCACTTTTCCTTCTTATTTCATCTCAAGTTGCACCTGGTTTTCAGCAATCTTTGTTGGATCTATGCACGCTGCACCTGGTTTCCAGCTAAGTAGCATGGCATGTTCGACCGGATAAGTATGTATACCGTAATATCTGGCCACTTTACCCAGCATCCCGGAAAATGCCCCAAAAGAAACCGGGAGGGGGGGGAATTGAGCGAGGGGGACAATTGGGCTACCCGAGGTATGAAAATGGTAGGATTTCGATCAATAAACATTTTCTGGCCATTCCATGTCTGTGTCTGTGTGTGAGTGTCCAAGTATCTATGTATATCGCTCTATCGCACGCGATCAAGCACGCGATTCAGCATCCGCAGTGAGCCCTTCGTTGATAACCTGTACAATGCGAAAGAGAAAGCGCAGATCAGTTGGTTGTTTGATTGATGGATGGATGGATGGATTGATTGATGGATTGATTGATGGATTGATTGATGGATGGATGGATGGATGGATGGATGGATGGATTTATTAATGGATTGATTGATACAGCCTCCCCCGGTACCCGTTGACCACGTTATACACCCCTTTCACAATCAGTCAAACAATAAATCAGTCGATCTACTCGTAAAGATTAATCTTTGTTGATCGTCATGAGCAGATTGATTGATTGAGTGGTTGATTGATTGGTTGGCTAGGCTACCAGCCGGGTCACCCGGGTGACCTTGTTTTCCCGGGCGGTCCGGCCGTGCAAAGACCACGGAAAGTCCCAGGGAAAAAAAAGAAAGAAAGTCCAAAAAATCCGAAATATAACTATGTTATGCAGTAAAATAAATTGAACAACTTTTACCTCAGGGTGACATCGAAATTCTTTTAAAATTTTCAATTTAAAAAAAATATATATATATTTTTTTTATTTGTAATTTTTTATTTTTTTCTTGGCCCGGCCACTCTGGTAGCCTAGTTAGTTGGTTGATTGATTGATTGATCCCCCTCCCCCTCCTGCTCCCATCCATACCCGCCCTCCCGTGTACTTTCCCTCGGCACACCGCCCCCCCTCCCCTCCCCTGTCGCTACCCACTGGCGTCATTTAAAAAGAAAAACAAACAGAGAAAGCAAGAACATAATAGCGGCCCCCCTTTATCAATCGATCAATCAACCAATCAACCAACCAATCAACCAACCAATCAATCGATCAACCAATCATCGAGCCAATCAGTCAATGAACCAACCAATCAATCAATCTAGTCATAACGATCAACCGAGGTTGATCTTTCTGACTAGATTGATTGAGTGATTGATTGATAGACTGATTGGTTGATTAATTTATTGATTTCCCAAAATTAAATTCGCTCCTTCTCCGCCCCCCCCTCTCTCCCCCCTGCTTCATCTCGCCGCCCTTTTCCGCCCCCCCTTTCACGCCACCCCTTCTCTCCCCCCCCGCCCACTTTCTCCACCCCCTTTTCTCGCCGCCCATCCCGCCCACCTTTTTCTTCCCTCCCCCTCATTTCCCATCCCTCCCCCGTCTCCGAATAGTTTCCCCAACCCTCCAGCGGTCGGCCTTGTTAAAAAAAACAAAAGACATCAGGCGCCAACCAATCAATCAGTCTACTAATAAAGATCAACCAAGTCGATCTTTATTAGTACAGTAGATTGATTGATTCCCTAATTAACCCCC